CTGTGTGTGTGTGTGTGTGTGTGTGTGTGTGTGTGTGTGTGTGTGTGTGTGTGTGTGTGTGTGTGTGTGTGTGTGTGTGTGTGTGTGTGTGTGTCAGTTAAAACTGCCCAGCGGGGGGTTCAAACACACACTCAGCACTGTATACCCTGTGGTGGGTCACCTGCTGATCTGGGATAAGCCCACTGGGATAAGCCGGGATGGTACAGGGAAACTGGCCCGCCTAACCCCTTCACCTCTACAACACACACACACACACACACACACACACACACACACACACACACACACACACACACACTCACACTGTGGGGGTGGCAGTGCAGGATCGGGTTAGGGATTTTACTTGCCGCCTGGGGGGTTGCTGGATGTTGCTATGGTGACATGAATGAATTTATCGCTAGGCGTTGCATCTAAGGAGCGGTGTGTCTTACGTCCTTGTGACAGATGGAGGTCTGTGCTGTGATGCTGGTATGGACCTTGCACTTTGGAATTTTAGCCTTTAGCATTTACATTTACAAAAAACTATAAAACACTTCACTTCAGGAAAGGGAAAAAACGGTCTATAAAGAAGTGATTAAAAAGAGATTACTGATTCTGGTTATGCAGTCTTGCCCTGCCATGTCACAGGTTGGAACAGTCGGAAAGTGAAATGCCAGAAACGACCAAAGAGGCCTTTTCATGTTCCTGATGATCATTAATTTAGTGTCCCGCTGTGTCTTCTGTTTGGTGTACAGCCCAGCAAAGTGAGGAGTGACTGCAAGGAGCTGAAGATGCTGTGTGCCGAGGACGAGCAGAGCAGAACCTGCTGGATGACGGCCTTCAGACTGCTCAAAGTACTTCCTTTTCTTATACTACATACTGCTTTTTCAAACCCTAACAGTAACTATAAAATCATGTAGGATCCCATTTCTTGCTGCATTAACATGAATTGATCTGTCAGTTCTTGTAATCATCAGTTAATGCTCACCTTTCTCTTATTTCTCACAGTATGGGATAGTCCTTTATCAGAGCTACAACGTGCCCCAGCAGAGGAAGTCCAATCTTTCGCCTTTTACAGCACCTGTGGTGAGTATCTGAATCACCTTCGTATAACCCAATAGAGATTTGTTGATCCATAAACGATTACATATGGTGGCCGACACCATACATTTCCATTGGGAGAAACACGATGCAGTTTTAAAATCGATGCAAAGAAAGAAACATCTTCACTAATTCTAAATGCTGTGCATGTGTTGGTGAAGATGTTTCTTCATTTGCTCATTTGTGTTTTTATATTTGCATTGTTTTTGAAAGTGCAGCGTGTTTCTCCTGTAAGTGTTTTGGGCCACCGTACTTATGGTCAGAAATCAGAATTTCTTTGTCCAGTAGCATTGACATTTCCATGGTTGAAACTAAGGGAATTGGTGCATTGACTCACTTTTTTGCTACCTTGTTTCTGGCTTTTCTTTAGAGGAAATGAACGATCTATAGATGCACATATTACAATTTGTTGGCAGATTAAAACAATTCTGACACGCTGATTCCCACTTTGGCATTTTCCATTTAATTGTATGTTAAAAATAAAACATTGTCTGTAAAATAATTAATATTTCCTCTGTGGCTCCAAGTTTAATGCCCTTCTCTCACTCAAAACCTCAGAGGAACCAAGACGAGTGTGCATGAACCATACGTGTGTGGATATACTCTCTCCAGAGGTTTGAGTGTATTTGTGGATGTGTGTGTGCATGGCTGAACTGTGTATCGGTTTGGACCTGTGTCTGATCAGTCGCTGCATCTCCAGCTTGATCACTTCTATTTTGCATAAAAATATGAATTGTAAAATGCCTAAGTGATGTTTGATCCTAACAATCGCTGCTGCTGTTTGACATTTGGTTAGGGGTGACAAAAGCGCTCTTTAGTGAAAGGCTTACGGTCCAGATTCAGGTCAAACAAACAACCGTCTATAACTAAAGAACATCCGATACAAAACACCTTATCCCCGATTTATTTTAAATAGTGAAAGCTTACGGAACACGTATGCTGTTAAAATATTACATACACAGCACCAGGACTAGTCACTTAGCAGCAGGAGGTGTTTTACTTTGTGTTTTGTCCTTTTAACAACAAATCAGTGTTTTCATTATCCTTTGACCCTCTTTTATTTGAGATCACTTTACTTGAAAAAAACTAGTCCCAAGTCTCTTTACATTTAATTCCCTGAAGCCTTGTGGGGAAGGTGCTTCTGTCTTTGCAAAAAGATTTTAAAACGATATATAATTGTTCTATAAAAGGCATTGTCTTCCTTAAGACATTTCTTTGTAATCGATACCCCTTGTAGAGTCGTTTAAATCTCCGCAGTCCAAAATGAGTCACGAAGTTTAAGTTGCAGAATATACAAAAAGTGTGTCTTGGAACTTCTTGAACATTATTATGTGTTTTAAGTCTTGCTAGTTATGATAAGGACTGCTCTGAGTGAAAGACAAGTATTTAATTTACCTTATTTTCAGTTATTATTAAGAAAAAATCTAAGAAAATGTCTCGCCGCAGAACCAGAGAGGCTTGTGCTTTTCCTCAGAGGGGCGTTTGAGGGTCTGTGTGCAGACAGGATTTGTCATGCCCCAGTGACTGTGTCTGGCTTGTTTGACCTCTGACCCTTGTCTCTCCCCCACCCATCACCACCACCCCTCCACCCTGCTCCTCCCCCACTCCCCACCTTTCCCTCCCTCCTCCCACCCTGCCACGTCTCTTCACAGCGGAGTGTATCTGAGAACTCTCTGGTGGCCATGGACTTCTCTGGGAGGACCGGGCGGGTCATCGACAACCCCCTCGAGGCCCAGAGCGCCGCCGTGGAGGAGGGACAGACGTGGAGGGTAAGAGGGGGGGGCACACATAAGAAATCTGAACCCACAGATATAATCTCCCGTTGTTTAATGTGATAAACACAAAGGGGTAGTTTCCTGTGGGGTTTATAAAAGCCATTTTATCATCAACTTCCTCTTGGTTTAGTTTTTATTTGATCCTAATCTCCCTCAAGCTACTTTATAATAGGACTGTGTCAATGTTTCTGTGTTGCAAAATTATAACAACATATTAATATTAAAATGGCCACTTTATATATTTTTAAAGAGGTGGAAGTCAGAGAGAAGTCACGTTTTTTTAAGTAATAACTGCCTTTTCTTTTATGGCCCAAACTTGTTGTGTAATATCGTTAACACCCAAATATTACAAAAATGTATTAAACTACTTGAATCATTTTTCAGATATAATTATAGTTGATCTAGCACGGGCCACTACAAACAAAGTTAAACTACGTATTTAATTTCATGCATCTCAGTATTCCCTATCAGTACCTATCATACTTTGTGCGTGATCACGTCAGAGTGAAAGCCTTTTTCCATCTTGACCTAATTACAATTTTTCCTGCATCACTTTTCTCTGTAAAATCAAGTGTCTAGCAGCTCCACTTATCTGTTGCTGAGATCACAGCTCTGATGAGGATTAAGCAGAAAGCAGCTGCTCACTCCAATTCTTTTTTTGGTTGTGGTTGACGACTGTACAAAAACAGATCCTGCAAAATGTAAATCTTTAAGTTTTGGTTCAGCCCAATTTCCATGTGCCATTAAGAAAAGGAAAAGTCAATATATGTTGTCATCTTTTAACAATTGTTGCCCTTTCTTCCACATAGAAACGGAGCCAGCGTATGAATGTCCTGGGCAGCTCGAGCCCCCTGCACCCCTCCTCTCTGAGCACAGGTACTCCCACTTCAGACCCCAGCCAAATGCATTAGATAGTCTTAGGCCGTTTCTCAATCGCGAGGATGCTTGCTTGGTAGCACATGTCTTCCGAGTCAAGAATCCTTCCTGGCATTCGGAAAACGAAGAGTGGAACAGGCTAGCAAGTGTGCAGGTGTGCGTTATATGAGAGGCCCCGCCTTACATTTTCCGCCACAGATTTGGGGAAATTGGTCCGTGCGCAAAGCATTGTGGGGATTTTAAGGACGCAAAGTCTACCCCTGTGCAGCCTCGAAATTACCCCCAAACCAAGGACGCGGCCTCGGTGGAATTCCAAGTATGCTGGAGATTCTGTCCTTCGGCGACACTCGATGACGTAGTATCCTTGAAATATTGGCTTGGAAGCCAGTTTCCTCGAGATTGAGAAACGGCCTCAGTGTGTATTGTATGTTCAGTTTTTCTTGCAGATGTAAACGTATTAGGAGTATGAGAAAAGTGTGAGTCACAGATGTCTGTCTTTCAGTGATCCACAGGACACAGGTCTGGTTCCATGGTCGCATCATGAGGGAGGAAGCCCACAAAATGATCATCCAACAAGGCCAAGTAGACGGGTAAGATTAGCGGGTTCGCTTAGGAATTATGTTTTTATCTGATGTTATTTTAATGTAAATGTTAACCATGTGAAATTAAGTAAAAAGCTTCGGGAAAACGAGACATCAATGCTGCCAAGAAACGCTTAGACCTAGTATTTTGGCATGACAGAGGCCTTGTGGATTAAGATAAGGTTCTCAACAAATCACGCAGCAGCATATCATAAAGTGTAATCGTATAAAGCCATGCAAAGTTACGCAGCGTCCACACAGCGGCGTGCGTTAGAGCTTGCAGGTGGGCGTGTCTGAAGCTCGACCAACAACCAATCACATGAATCTCCCGCTCCGGACACACAAGCATCGGTTTGATTGGCTAGAGCTTGTACTGGCATATGATTTGATTGGCTGACGCTTCCGCCGAAACTTCAAAAGTTGAACATTGCTCAACTTTTGAAGCGAGCAACGCGAGCAAAGCAAAGCGATGCTCCCACAATGCAGTTCGGCAAAGTGTGACGTCACCCCATTCAAAGTGAATGGGCAGAAGCGTTGAAGCTTCAACGCACGCCGTTACAGTGGTGATATATACTTCTCATGAATAGCTTTAATCATCTCTTCCTTCTGTTCTGTGTTTCAGGTTATTCCTGTTGCGGGACAGTCAGAGTAATGTCAAGGCATTCGTGCTCACCTTGTGCCACCACCAGAAGATCAAGCACTTCCAGATCCTGCCGGTCAGTCACATGACACAACACGTCACATGACACAACACGTCACATTACACTGCAGGAAGCACGCCATGCTCACTGACATAAGGCATAGTGAGGCAGATCACAGTAACACCAGCAAAGAGGTTATTTCCTAAATAGATTCTTTGAGAGAAAAAAGGCTTTCCCTTTCCTATAGTGTGTTATACAGGTTTTTGTGCATGTAAATGATCTGCGAATGCTAAAATCCCCAAAATGTCCCCCCCAATACAGACAGTATGAGAATAATAAAAACCTTTTTGAACATTAAAACATGGAGACATGTCTCAGTTGAAGCACAAAATACAATTAATGCAAATGATGCCCTCTTTAATGCTATTCATCAGTCTAAATTGTTCTGGTTTTTAAATTGTAGACTGTTAGCAATCGATCTATAATCATATTTAACAAAATAGTTAAAAGAACAAATATGTTTTTATGATTTTGGGGTGGATTGTCCCTTTTTAATATAAGACCACTACCAACCAATTCCCAAAGCATACCATGTTTTTTTATTTTAAAAAAAATTCTTCCCTCCCCCCGGGCAGCCATCTGTTTGAATTTATTGTGTTACAGTACAGATTTGAAATTGAAATTCCTCAAAGGGCCTGTTCACCTAAATAACAACAGAGACATACTTTTTCACTTGAGGTGAGGAATCTACCTCCTGAATGTACGACCTGATAACTGTGCTGGATGAAAAAAACACAGGATCACTAAAATAAGAAGGGTTTATCCTCTGACGATCATGAACGTCTGTACACGATTTAAAGACTATCCATCCAATAGTTGTTGAGATTTATCACTCACAGACTCATTGACCACACTTTTACTACTTTACTGGCATTTCAGTGACCTGTGCAATACTCACAGCACTTTTGCATTATTATTATTATGGCAATATATTACTGCATTACATACACTACTGTATATATGGAAAATATACATATTTTAAAATGTTTAGTGTTATACAGTATATTGCAGAGCATCTCCAATATTTAGATTTTATTCTATAATGTATTAACTGTTTTCGTCCAGGGTAGTATGTGAACATCTTATCTATGATCTTATACATATTTGTATTTTATTTTATTTTAATTTATTTCATTTGATTTATTTTTAATTTAATATGTATTCATTTTTTATTAAATTAAATTCTATGATATTAAATATTTGCATTTTTTTTGTTCAATTGTATTATTCAATTTATTAATGTTTTATTCTATAATGTAGCAACCATTACAAAATCCAATTTCCTCCAGGGATACAATATCCCCAGGAAATAATTGATTTTGAAGATAAAACAAAAGCATTTTCCAACTAATGTTCCTTGAGTAGCTCAGAGGGATGAAGTGTCTTATCTCCATGTGATGTAAACCGTCTCCTCCCCCCTCAGTGTGAGGAAGACGGTCAGGTGCTCTTCAGCCTCGACGATGGCGCCACAAAATTCACCGACTTGATCCACCTTGTGGAGTTTTACCAGCTGAACAGAGGGGTGCTGCCCTGCAAGCTTAAACACCCGTGCACCGCTGTGGCCTTGTGACACTCCTCAACCCCGACACCTCTACCCCCTTTTTTTGCACACCTCTCTCTAACCCTGAGATTCCGCCGCCCCCATCTGCCCCTTCCTCACCGACGAAGGTGAGGGGATAGAGAAGTCGAGTTTGAGGATGTGAACTCGCCTGGCATTGGAGGTTTTTCTGATTTCCCCCAATGCGGCAACGCTTTCCTCCAGGCTTTCCGCTGTCTGGTCAAGCGTTGCAGATCGAGGACCCGTCAGTCGGCCAACGTTGTCATGGAGACTCGACTGTTTTGTCATTGCTGTTGGAGAGAGACCATGTGATGTGAAAACACGAGATGGCGAAAGTCTGTTTGCAGGATGGCTGCGGGTCTCTAGGATGGACCCCTCCCTCACCCTTTAACCTCCCACATCCTCCAGGCCTGATAAGCTGTGGTGCCCGCCCCACCCTCAGTCCTTCGAGGGGGGGTGCCACCCTCTGACTTCCTCATAAATCATCAGGGATGGACGGGGAACCTCTCTGGATCTTATCAAACTCAATCCAGGAGTTTCCTCTACCTTTGCAGTCCAGTCTGGATAAGCTGACACCCTGTCCCCCCTTCCAAAAACAGACTCGATGCAGCCTCTCTGCTGTCCCACAATCCCCTGGGGTGTAACCCCCCCTCCCCACCCATATCCTGCCTCTCCTCTCCACATAAAGCTCAGAGATAAATGGGCAGAAAAGTAGCTAGATAAGCTAGAGGCAGTGGCGAGGGTTGCTGAAAGGACGAGGAATGTTTATCAGGAGAGGCTGCAACAAGCCTCTCTTGTAGAATGATTACTTGATGTCATTTAATGCTGTTTTTATTACTGTTGATTCAATGCAGAACTAGTTTTGCACTCCCACGGCGGACAGACGACAGCTGTCCTCTCTAAGCCTAAATTGAAGGCTTGTCCCCCTGCTCTCCCGTTTCCCTCCTCCAACACGGTCTCCCCTTCTGAAAGCATGCCTATGAAAATTTCCCATCAGTTTTCTGAATTGGGATTTTACCAAGTGGGGGGCGTGGGGGGAAGCAAAGTTTAGGCCCTCATGCAGAAATTAGGGCTGATTAATGGGGCCGTGCCCCTTTTCAGAAAAAAAAAGGTTTTTGGCTTTTTCGGGAGCCTCCGTTGTTGGCAAACAATAAAAAAAAAATGTGCGATCTCAGGACATGAGGAAGAGGGGAGCTTTTAATATACTCGCTGAAAAAGTTGTTGTTCCACCCCAAGGCTTACCATTCTTTTTTTCTATTTTTTCTGTAATCTTAAAGGGGTTTCAATCTCTTTGTGGAATTTGTCTTTTTGAATGTCATTGTTTTCTCTCCTAAGTCTCTTCTGAAGCTGCACTGGGCTTTGGCACATTTTAAATTATTGATTTTGAATTATTTGAATGGTTTGGAGGCTGTCAATGTTCGGTATTCTTGACCACTGTTCCCCATCGCAGAAAAACGAAAATCAACAAAAGCACTCCCACACCGTTTATCCTTTTGTCTTTGTTTGTTTTTTTATATGGAATGATCAAATGACTTGAAATGTTGAAGGCTCAGTAGATTGTTGTCAAAAAAAAAAAAACACAGTGGAATGAGATTTCACTCGCCTTAAGTTGAAAAATGTGAGCCTTGTCTATAAAATTGAAGCTATATATTATCAATGGCACATACAGTAAAAATTTTCAAGATTTCAAGAGGTGGAAGTTTAGGTATCAGAAAGATGTTAAAAAATGGCAAGAGTTTAGATGGAAATGATTTTGGTAGCCACTCTCATGTCTGTAAGCGCTTGAA